TAAACGAATAAACGAAAGTGTTTTGGATATAGGTTTAATCGCTCATGGATACGGATACCGATGTCGTTATGCACAGAATGTTAAGCTTTCGATACAGGATGAGGTACACGCTACTGTCGTATGGCGCTGTGATCGGTAACATACTGCGTAAATGACATTTATTGTAACCATGAACACCTTTCTACATAACCAAACCATGTACAACGCAACACTATTGCTCAATAATACCAAAATTATCTAACCTCAATAATTACCCCGATAAAGCGAAAACGTGTTCAACCATTTTATCGTTTGCACACTTATTTACATATATAACCACACCAGGATACTATAAACAACATAAGTAATACATACTAGATAACGTGCGTATAAAAAAACATGAAATTTTATCAAATTTTAATAAGAATGTAAAAAGAAATATTTTTTTAATCGTTATTATCTATTATATTTTCCTTCCTTCTTTCTGTTTCTTTTTTTATCTTAATAAAATTCCACGTTTTCGTATTTTTATTTTTACATACATTTCAAAAAAGAAAAAACTAACCTTGATAACTGCCTCCGATCCTCCCCTATTTCTGTCGACATTCTCCTTATTTTCCATCTTGACTTTATCTTGACTTTTACGACGTGGTGGTACAGGAGGTGAGGGTGTTGAAAATCCTGTCTCGATACTTTCAACGCCATTTTTCCGCGCATTAATAGCGACCTCTTCACGATCAAAATTCGAACACGATTCTTCGCGGTTCGTATTATTGGTCGGAGGACTAAGAGGCGCGGGAGGTGGTGGTCGGTAAGGTGGCGGAACTCGTAAAGGAGAAAGCGGAGTTGATATATCAGGAGTATTTATGGGTGATGTGATTTGGTCCGAAATCCCCAGATCTATAGGAAGTTGACGATACCTCTTCTTGAGAACTAAATATTTTTCACCCTGCATAATAAATAATTTCTTTCGTAATATATTTTTATATGAATATAATAACGAATGATAATTAATCAATATAATTATCATATTTTGCAAATTTAAATATTTGAACGTTATATCGACGATTATTTCTAATTTGCATTTCAAGTAAATAAAACAAAGTTGATAATATAATGTATGATGAATACAGGAAATGCATTTAAAAAAAATTTACAGAATACAGAATGATATGCAAAAAGATATTAAATATTCAAAGCATAGTATATATTATGATATATAAAAGATAAAACAAATGATAAATTTGTATAAATATTTAAAATTTAATAATAGTATACGCAATATATGATATATAATAAAACGGAGATTAAAAAAAATGAGAAAGAAAATTTTTTCCAGATAACATTGAGTTTTCTATTAGCCGCGCGAGACATTGAAAAAACCGGCAACGTCGCAAAACGCGCAACAAGTCGCTCCTGTCAAGGCGGAAGGAAATTGTTAGTCGATGACGTACCTCTTCGTTCTTTATAGTAGCCAGGGTGTTTACATATTCCTTGAACTGATTTCGTGCCTCGACTGTAACGTAAATTTAAACACTATTCACCAACTGTCCTTAGATTTAACGTTGAATGTGATAAGTATTAACGTTTATTCCGTGTTTACACACAGCATGCCGTGTAACGTTCGAGTCACACCTTGCGAAAGTAAGACACTCGTTCAACTACGTCGTAAATCGGATTTTCAACGTACCTCGCGTTTCTGGATCTGTCAAAAACTTCTTGAAGTACTTCACTACATCGTGATTACGAGCAGTACCCCCATTTTCCAATAAATATTGACGAATTTCTTCGAGAGACAGTTCACTGGGCGTCGCCATCTTGTCACTACTAGCCGACGCTACAGCGCCGCCGTTTCCACTTTTCACCGTACTGTCGATAAAGACGACTTCTGTGACGCACGATACGCATAGTGAATTCAGAATACGTTAAAATTAAATCAATTCTCTCAAACGAACTATTGTAGCTATTGCATGTAATTTTTTTTTTTTAAATCCAAAATAAAAATTTAAGAATCGTGCGTCTAGTAAATATTAATACATTGTACGTGACAATACTATAAAAACGTAATAACAATATTATCGTCGTCTGTATTGCAAAGTACAATATCGAACCAAGTGAAGGATGTCTAATTGCTACTTCGAGATGCAAATAAAAATTATGTATGCGTGAAAATGAATACATGAATGCAACGTATAATTTTTTTCTTTAATAATGTACTAACGAGTTGTAATCATATCGCACCTTAACAAAAAAATTGTTAACGTTATTAGTAAAGAGTGCAATCGTTATTCCTCATGCATAACACATAATATACCAATCAATTTAATTCACATTATAATTGTGTAGGACTTGGTGGAATATGTAACGCGCGATCCAACTGTTAGCTCAAATCCCACGTCGTCGATACACGTATAAAAAACCGACGACCATGCAAAAACCAATTTTTCACTTCGAAGCCAAACATATTAACCGACGATGGAACTAGATATTTGATTCGATCCGCGCAAATAGACGATTCGTAAAACCTTTTAGCAGCCCGACGCGTTATATTCCATTCATGCAAACATCCGGCCAACGAACCCGCCGCACAAACTAATGCGAGTAACCATGCATCGCCAGATGGAGTTTTAAACACTGCGATTTAAGTGCTGCTATACGCATCGACAATGACCGATCGAATGATTGATTCTGATTTTTATTATGTTGTCTGATCTGTTTACGAGTTCAAGTTTGTCCAGTTTACTGTATAACTTATTTAAAATATTTGTTTTAACTAATTAAGTAAACGTACAAATATTTCGCAAAAAATAATCGAATTAATTATATAAATTAATATATAATATTATACTAATTATAGTAACTTTAACTTCTTTGGTTGCTTTTAATCAACATATAAAATAAATAAATATATATGACATTATCATAGTTATATTTTCAAATTATTTTATTATATTAGAAAAAAATTTATTTGTATTAAATTAAGAGTATGGTATACTAATGTGACTGATAATAGTAACAAATAGAAGTAAAAATGATCAATACTTATTTTGCAAGATATACAGGAGCAAAATTAATATTGTTTTTTTATTCATATAGAAATGTAATTATTTTTTGAATTTATTATTTAACAATTATTAGAAACATTAAATTATTATAAATCGAATTGAAAAAATTAATATTAGAATTATCAATATAATGATAAATTAAAATTGTAGATTTCATCTGTAATTTTGACTGTAAAAGAATCTTGTAATGAAAAGAATTTTTATATTCTACTGTACTGTACTACAATTAAGCAGAAAGTTACTTAATTTAGAACAATTATATCTTAATGGTGTTGATAATCATATGTGGGACTTACGAAGAAAGTCTGATTTGCATAATACAGTATAGTCTTGAACAAAATTATTCAGATAATGATGTACTTCTATAATGAGAACAATTCTTGGTAACAATGTTTTGTAATGAAAAAAATAGCCTTACTAATCACCGACCGTGTGTAAAAATACATAATACAAAAGACGAAGAAAGGGAAGACGAGAAGGAATAAGTGTATACGTGTAGCACGCACATGAGTCTCCACGGGCAGGAAGCGTTATGGTAAGCCTTTATAATTAAATCCCTTTTATCGACATATATTCTAATGAAACGACGAGTAATGATTAAGTTCGGTCCTCTTAAAGATTCCGCAACGATCGAATCATTTCCAATCGAAATGCAATTCTTGCAATATTTTTAATGGACCAAGATCATTGCATCGAAACGACTGACAACACCGTTTAAACGTGGCCATGAATGTGCATTAAGCGCACTTTGTAACGCCATTTACAAGGGTCATCACGATCGGAGAGATCAGCTCGATTAAAATAATTACAACCGCGTGGATACCAGGGATTCGTGTCTCTGGAAACCTGAAAAAAAAAGAAAAAAAAAAAGAAAAAGGAAAAAAAATATTACTACGCCAAATAACAGTATCAGAGATCTCGAGGAGATCAGATGATAATCTTTATGCTACAGTAGCTGGCACGCAGCGTGTTTCTTTGATACAATTCTTCAAACCCAGCAGGATTGATGCACGAGATTGGTATTTCCGCGAACAAAATGTGTGTGCGGCAAGAGGTCGTCCGGGGGCGAAGCGTTTGCAGGCAAGAAGAACGAGCGGCCAGGAACGAGGACAAAGGAGTCGCGTCGACGCCCCGTGGCCCCGTAGGTGCATCCACGATATCATCTACCCATGTTCCTCTGCGTTATGCTTATGCTCGTGCATACGTAAAAGATGCGCGAGGTTGGAGCCGCTGCAGCATTTTATCCGGTCCCGGTGCAAACTGCAAAAGAGTTCGTGTGATCTACCGCCCAGTGATATGTCGCCGCCGGGATTCCAAAAGAGAACCGCAGCCTTTCTTACCTCTTCTCCGTCCCTCCTCCTTTTATAATTCTGGCCGACCGTTTGTTCTCGCGCCATTTTAATTAATTCTTGAACAATGCGACGGTGGAATGATTTTTTATTGTACACGATTATCCGAGCGTGTACAAGAATTCATTATGTAATGTATGGTTTCCGCCAACTTCTTTTACTCTCTCTCTCCGAGCAACCTGAAATGTTACTTCGGCCGCACGCTTGCTCGTTTGTGTACGAACGAGAATCCTGGCTCGCAAACAAGGCGCGCCTTTATTAATTGCCAAAGCTTCGAGAACGAGTTCATTCACGAAACACGGGTTTTACTCTTCCTCTTCGAATTGTTCCCATTTTTCTCGTTCCCGAGATATAATTCGAGATGAATGGATTCGAAATTTCGATAAATCTTTTTCGAATGGAATATGGAATATTTTGGAAAACAGGCTATTGTTCATTTCGTACACTCTCATTCTATTGATAGAGGTATTGTACCATGTTATTTGTATTTGAAACAAGACCAAATTGCAGAACAGATCCATGAATGTAGTACGATTGGTACAACGGAACGAATAATCGACACTGTTCGCGATTCAGATCGAAATTCGCCAGTAACGAATAATTAGATCAACAAATTAACCAAATTTACTGAATCTATGATTTTATCTAATTAATTTAAAGGCAATAAATGACCTGATAACGAGATATACAATAAATTGAATCTATAAAATCACTAAAAAATTCACTTCATTCTTCTTTCTTAACCTAACCTAATTTAAATCAATTTTCTTTCTATTCAATTCACATTCACGAATTCAACTTCTTGTCCGAATATTCATATAAAATTCTCTTTGCTTCAATTTAGAGCTTAGATATTTTATAATCCAAAAAACGAGATAACACAATAAAAGCATTGGCATCACGCTCAATTTTTACCGAAAAATTCGTCGATTCGAAATGGAAAGTCGCGAGTAGAGGCGCAAATGCGCTCGATTCGCAGCGTCTCTAGTGGCAAAAAGCAGCATCTAGATCATGCTGTCCTTTCCACGGATGGCAAGCGACGCCGCACTGTAACAGTAAATTCGAGGCTGAACCCGATGATGGACTTCGCGCTCTCTATAGTTTTTGCCATATAAAGGGTCGCAATGGTATCGTGGTATCCGACAGGATTCGACTTTATATATTCGTCCATAATTGGAGCGACTGCACTCACTCCAATTGGCTACGGATATAAAACATCCCGTATAAAGAGCGTACTTTGGTGGGTTTCTTGCGTTGTTTTTAGTCCCCGTACCTTTGGTGGTCTCGTTAGAAGGACAGTGGGAGGTCTTTGGGAAAAACGGCAATAACACGCAACAAAGTCCTCGCGTTTCTAGCCGATCTCATCGTTTCTGATCCCCTAAAAACCCAACGAGGCACAGTAAAAAAATACGACGAAACCAGTAGTCGAAGCTCACGTGACCTCGTATCGTTCGTCTGCGCAATTATCATAGTATTATACATTATATACATGTATCGAGATAGCTTCAATCAATTTTGAAATAATTATCGCGATTACACAGATAACGGGAAAAAATAAATTTTAAAAGTATTCGAAAATAAGGTGGAACATTGAAAAGAGAAAGTAACCGGTTATTGAGGTTATGTCATACACCGTACACGAGCGATATAAATTCGAATACATCGAGAAAAAAATAGAGAAAATAATAACTTTTAACCCCATATTTCATCTTTGACAATACAATTATGATAATATAACCCATTTAAAAAAATTTTCTTATTTTGCTTCATATATATTTTTGATTCGTGAAACGATAAATCTAAGTGAAATAAAAGAAATATATTTAAAAAAAAACGCAATAATTCAAGAAAATGGGTAGATATCTATTCTACTATCGAAGCAATATCGTAGAATAGCGAGAGCTTCCTTTTGATGGGCTATGTACTTAAGTATACTTACATCGCACGGCAACGAACGTAAAACGTTTCGGTGAACAGAGTTATGGGCTCTAATGAGTCGAGGGGTTAAAGCGCGAGTCCCGAGATCCTCATGGCAAAAGAAGAGAGCTAAAACCGTATCGGACCGTTCAATCTATCCTGACTACCGTTTACCACGGCATCGTTTAAAGTGGCCACAGGTGCTCGCCCGTATACCATACCGCCCGTACCAAAAAAAAAAAAAAA